TGTGACGCGGGAGAGGGAAGAAGACGAGGAGAGGGAGGAGAGGGGAGAGGGGGCATACGCGTTGCGTGGGTAACCCCGATGGTTGCGTCAGCCATGGATCTCAGCACACAGCGGACGCCACGACTACGAAACGAGGCAACAAGAGCACGATCGCTCCTGACTCGGGGCGGGGAAGGGCCGCGGGAGGGAACAGGAGGGGGAGAGGGGAGCTGCCAGCTGGAGCATGAGCCGAACTACTCTCGAGAAGGTATCACCCCGAGGCGGGCAACAAAATTCTGCCACAGCCCCCTGCTGCCGGAACGGCCAAACCGATGAAATCCGGCCAGTCATATCCAGCGCAACATGGAATTTGAAAGAAGAGGGGGAATCAAAGGGAGCAGGACCGGATGCAGGCACCGAGCTGCTGTCGGGCAAGGCGCGAAGCCAGACACGCCAAACTAAAAGCGACGCCGCACGACAGCGAGGGAGAGAGATGGGCAAATTTCCAGCCACCACCACTACTATAGGTATGTCGGGGGAGATGGGAGGAAGGGGAGGTCCTCCTCCTCATCCTCATCATCATCCCTCCTTTCCTACCTGTGGTAGCGGTGGTGGAACATCGGCCCATCAAAAAGGGAGGAGGCAGCATCAAAGCCGGAGGCGCCACTGCTGACCTCAACCGTGCCCAACCAAGCCGCGCAGCGACGAGCGAGGCCTGCAAGCGAGGGCGCCCGCGTGCACCCAGCGGTCGCGTGGGCCACGGGGATGGTGCTGCAAGACGGAGAAGGGGCAATAAAATGTGGGAAACTGCATGGCCCACGCCGTGATGTCACGATGACATTGCCTCCACCGTCCACCTCCATACACTGGTATCCGACGAGGCGAAGGACTCGAAGCGCGGCCCCAGAGGTCCCGACCCCTTCCCCTGGGCCAATGTTTCGCCCCTGATCCATGTTTGACGGCCACGCTGCCGATAACGGGCCCCAGGATGCCGACACCGAGGGGTAACGCCAGGACTCAAAAAAAAATCGGGGATGGACAGACCCCCCTTTAGTAAAACGTGGTTTACGTGGCCTCGCCTCGCCTCGCCTCGCCTCGCCTCGCCTCCTCCTCCTCCTCCTCCTCCGCCGTCCTCCTCCTCCTCCTCCTCCTCCTCCTCCGCCGCCCTCTCCGCCATCGCCCGCTTCGTTCTGTGAACGAGGCGGTGCCTCGCCCCTGCGCGCCTCGCCGCACGCGCGCCGCGCCCGGGTGCCCGTGGCGCGCGCGCGCGCGCCCTCATGGCGGAGAGAACACCTGGGCCGCGGAGGGCCCGCGGTGCCCTCCGCCAGCACACCTCGGCCGCTCCGACGGTCGCCCCCGCAGCCTCGGAGCTCTGGGCCCCGCCCTCGGGCGTTGGCAGAACTGGGCTTCGTGGAACTTGGTTTCGGAAGAAGGGCGGGGGGACGCCCCCCCGCCCCGCTCCGCTGACCGGAACTGCCGCCACTCGAAAAAGCACCAGCTGCGGCAGACCTCTGGCTTGGTGATCCTGGCCGATTCAAGGGCTCCGGGGCCCCACTAACCGGGTCCCCTTGCCTGGGCCCCTGGCACCTCCGGCAGCGCCATCCGCGCGGGCGCGTCCGCCTGGGCAGCGCCGCCGGGGGCGCCGGCGCCCGCCGCCGCCGCCAGGCCCGCCACGACGAGGCCGTGCCGCGCCGCCATGGGCCGCGCGGCCGCGGTCCGCTCGCCAGGGCCAGACGTGAGCGTTGCTGGTCGTGGCGTCTTCGTTCGGTTGCTTCGTTTCGCTCTGTGCCTGGTTTCCGGTACCGCCCTGCCAAGACGAAAACAGCACGACACAGCCGAAGCCCAGAAAAGCATCAAGGCGGTCGTGCCCCCCTGTTTCGTTTCGCTCTGTGCCTGGCTTCCAAAACCGCCCTGCCAAGACGAAGACAGCACGACACAGCCGAAGCCCAGCCAAGCAGCAAGTCGGGCGTGCCCCCCTGCAGGGGCATGTGGGGCGAGACATGAAGCGGATGCAAACCAAAGACCCCCCAGACGGGCAAAAATGCTCAAAAAGTCGCCCCCCTACGATTGTTTCACTACTTTTGCATATTCCTCCTGCAGTGGGTGGGCAAAAAGACTCAAACAATCGCCCCCTACCATCTTGTGACTATTGGCGGCGCGCAAAGAGGGGTAGGGGGAGGGGGGAAGGCTTCTTAGAAGCACCCTGCTTCTTAGGAGGCCTCGGCCTTACGTCTACAGAGAAGGCCCGCGCCTTCCAAGAAGCAGGGGTGCTTCTAAGAAGCCCTCCCCCCTCCCCCTACCCCCCTCTGCGCGTTGCCGAGACTACTTTGGACGATTCCTCCTGTAGAGGGACAGGCCCGACTCAAGCTTAGACACAGCCCCGTCGTTGAGCAGGGACCGACCGTCCCGGCATTCCTATAATCCTACCACGAAATGCTCTTAGAACCCCAACATGTTCTAAGAACAAAAACAATGTTCTTAGAACGCAACCCCGATGTGTCAAAACAAGACAGCCCCAGCCAGACATGTTCTAAGAACACTTCGTGGGAACCACACAAACAATTCTTAGATCATTGCTTGGTGGGGCTATAGGCGAGCCGGGACGCTTCGCCACTGCCTGACCCGCCGCTCGCCCCGCAGGCCGCCTCTCGCGCAGGCGGCCGCGGGGGGGCGGCCGCAGGGCGCGCGCCGGCTCGGGCCGCCGGCGGCCCCTCGGGCCGGCCGCGCGCCGCCGGCGGGCGTGTCCCGGCGCCGTCGTCGCCGCCCTCTGCGCCGTGGGGGCCGCCGTCGGTCGACGTCCCTGCTGGCCATCGCTCGGACGTCCACTCCCTGTGCTTGTTTCTCGGTTTCGTGCGTGGCCTCTTCGCCAGAAAGGATCCAGGATGCTCCTCGATGGTCCTCGCCGAAGGAAACATGCACACGTCCGCGAGATGCCAAGCCTGCGCCGTGGTGGGCGTGGGCGTGGGCGCGGGCGCGGGCGCGGTCGCGGTCGTCTGCGTCTCCGTCGTCGTTTTCGTCTTCGTCTGCGTCTTGGTCGGCGTCCTCGTCCTCGTCGTCGTAGTCGTCGTCCTCGTCCTCTTCGTCGTCGTCGTCGTCCTCGTCGTCGTCGAACTCGTCGTCGTCGTCCTCATCCTCGTCCTCGTCGTCGTCGTCAACGTCGTCGAGGGCGCCGCGCCAGCCTGCCCGCCACCGTGCATCGTGCCTGCTCCTGCTCTACCCCGCCTCAAGACAACCCCCGTCGCCCCCAGGGATCTGATGCGGCAACAAAGGGGCGGCATCGCGAAACATCACAAACGGAGCCCTGGAGACCCCTCCGCATCCTCGTCATCCTCCTGCTCATCCCCGTCCTCCTCCATCTCATCATCGCCGTCGCCGTCATCATCATCAACTTTGCTGTCGCCATCGTCATCGTCGTTGTCATCATCAGCATCAACATCATCAGCATCATCATCATCAGCAGCATCATTAGCATCATCACCACCCTCCTCCTCCTCCTCCTCATCATCATCATCAGCATCACCATCAACATTACAATGCTTCATACCATCATCCCCTTCTCGTCCTCATCCCCATCATCACCACCACCGCCATTTTTCGAGCCAGAAGTGCGCGAAAACGCCCTTGGTGAAAGAAACTGCAACGCCCAGATCTGAGGGTCGTTCTCTTGCCCAGGCTCGGGGGAACCTACGGAACTTCGGCTTCTTGCGGTTGGCCAGGTTGGGCTGAGCTGGGCACTGCTCTGTGCCCCTCGCGCAGCGCAAGTCGGAGTTACTATTGAGGAGTTTCCTCCTGAACCCGATGGGAGAAAGAATCATGGGAGTCATGGCGACCCCGATGCCCCATTTTGTGGGATCTCGAGTGGGTAAAAGATTGGGGATCCACCTTGGGGATATACGGTAGGGTGGCGCACATCCTCGGTAGGTATGCGTTTGCATCGCCCTCTACGGGGTATCCCCCAATCTCCCTTTTCTGAATGTATTGAGTTGTTTTCGGAGGGGATCTCGGCGACTTCGGTCGAGGAGACTGTCTGCGAATGACGGAGAAGGGATGAAGAGGCGTGTTCGGTGTTTTCTCTGGGGGGGGAGAGGTCATCTAAGTCAGGAGGATCAGGGTCGGCAAAGCCCGATCGCCCTCCCAACGTGACGGCATGGTTGACGGCAGAGTGCAGAAAACTCCGTGGTGTGCACCCAGTCGCGCGCAAAAACATGTCAGGGCACGGGGGCGGCACTCCAGGAAGACCCCCCCCCGGCCTCGTGCATTCAAGGCCGCCCAATTGGGGCTCAAGTACTTTCGGGGATGGACAGAACCCCCTTTAGTAAAACGTGGTTTAGTGAAAACGACCAGAGGCCCAAACCTGGCGGGCGCAAGCCTGGAAAATCACGGCCACGGCGCCCTCTCGAGAACCGACAACGGACAATTCACTAATCGACGTGTCACTGTTGGGGGTTCTGTCCACCCCCGATACTTGGACGCCCGAAATGGGTACGGAAAAAATTGGTAAAATGCCCAACAACACATGCTGTCCCAAACCAACAGCGGCCGCTGTTGGGCAGGCGGCCTTCTGTCTCGAATGGACACAGGCCGCGGCGGTGTGGACAGCGAATCCGGTTCAAAATGAACAGGAACTGCTGTTAGGCATTGTACCCATTCTTTCCGCGCCAATTTCGGGCGTCCAGAAAGTAGACGGGGGCGGCACAACGCAACGCGTCGCCCAGCGATGCATCGGCACGGAGGGAAAGTCGGATCCCACATAGCTCCGCATCGTCGATGCACTGGCGATGCGCGCGATCCGCCGGCCCCACGTGCGCGGGCATCCTTCGGGCGGCCCGGCTGCGAGGCGTGCGAGCGCGTCGCTTTCGAGGCGGGGGGCGCCCCATGCTTCGAAGGCCCACGGACTTCTCTCGAACGCCGCCCGCGTCCCGCAAAGCTCTCGTGGTCGCTGGAAGGCCCTCGTCGCCACGGCTGGACTGAAAGGGGCCCAGGGGCACGCAAACAAATACGCGCGAATCCTAAATTTTCCCATCGGATTCGACGATTAAGTGTGTTTGTGTGTGTGTCGGGCCATCAAGAGCGCACGTCCAGCAGCATCTGAGCAACTGACCGTGGCCTGTACCAACGGGAGGCCACTGAGGCCAGGCACACTCTTATAATCAAATCGCGAAGCGAATCGATATACAAGGCATCAAATAATGCATAGTGTGCACGTGCTTGTACGGCCAAGCGAAGCCCTACTGCCGTCTACTGGGGACCGCGTCCCAGCACGACAAGCATCCCAACGTCTACCAGGGACGGCGTCCTGGCACGAAGGGGCATCCGCTCAGCATCGCACGGATAACTGGCGGGAAACAAAATTGTACAAGGAAAAACGCCCAGAGCTCGACTCGAGGAGGAGCACCATCGCGTCTGCCTTGCAATGGCCAGGCTCAGCCATCGCCGCCGCTGCAGCCTGCACCAGCGCTGGGGCCCAGGGGCTCCAGGAGGGAGCGAGGAACCCTGAAGACCGCGCCCGTGCCGTCAGGGTCGATCGCGACGTCCATGCCCTGGTCCGTGGCGTCCCAGATCACCTCCGCCGCTGCTCCGTCCAGAGCCGTGCCCATGCCGCGGACCCGCACCCGCAGGCCTGCGGGCAGGGCGGCACGTGCGCCTGGCCCCAGCGCAGGCGGGGACGGCCTGGCGCTCTGCACGCCGACGTGCATCGCGCCCACGCTTTCGTCATCGCGGGCGTCGCCGACTTCGACGGGCACCTGCACGAGCGCGAGGCCCGTGCGCTGCCCACCAGCGCCGTCGCCGCCGTCCACGGCCGCCACCGCCTCGCGAATGGGCGGCACGCCCGCCGCGGCCGCCGCAAGGCCTGCCGCTGCTGGGCGCCCCCCATCCGCCCAGGAGTCGTCCTCCATGGAGGCGTCGTCGTCGGCCGCCGCCGCACCGTCGCCACCAGGAGGACCCGCCGTCAGCGCGCGCGGGGGCCGCCTGCGGCGTCGCCGCCGCCGAGCCCGCTCCGCAGCGTCCGCGCCAGGGGCCCCGCCCTGCGCAGCCGCTGCGCCTGCCGCTCCTCCAGCTCCTCCCTTCTGCTCCTGCTCGTCGCCGTCGTGGGCCCGAGGGGCGCCAGGCGGGGCCCCCGCGCCGCGCCCCGCGCGGCCGCGCGGCCGGCGGCGCCGCCCAAGGCGGCCCGCGGCAGCCGGTGCCGGGGGGGCGGGCGCAGCCCTCGCGCCAAGGGCCACGATGGCCGCGCGGAGCAGGCCCTCGGCCGCACGCAGGAGGCGGGTCCCGCTTGGAGACGCCGCCTCGACTGCGAGGCCGCTGGCGGCGTGGGCCGCCAGGAGGGCGCCGCGGGCCGACTCGAGGGCCCTGCGGCGCGCCGCATCAGCGCTGCCAGCGTCGGCACGCGCAGCAGGCCCAGCGGTGGCCATCACGAGGACGGCGGCCGCGGGCCCAGGCGAAGCGCAGCTTGAGCCGAGGCAGCTGTGTGTGTGTGTGTGTGTGTGTGTGTGTGTGTGTGTGTGTGTGTGTGTGTGTGTGTGTGTGTGTGTGTGTGTGTGTGTGTGTGTGTGTGTGTGTGTGTGTGTGTGTGTGTGTGTGTGTGTGTGTGTGTGTGTGTGTGTGTGTGTGTGTTGTTGTGTGTGT